AACGCTTGGTTATCTCCTTGTGGGAGACCTATGTCTCTGAACAGCTTTCTTCGTCTTGTCTGTCTGCCTTTCATTGTCATAAAAAATGTTCCTCCTGTCATCCTGTCATCTGCCTACACTGACAAATAATCCTCTTACGAGTTCCTGCATTTACACAGGCCATGCGGAGTATGCGTGTGTGAGGTGGAAGGACGGTCAAGTGTCAGCAACAGCCTAGGGGGTTTGTGGGTGGAAGGATGAAAAAGATGGAGGGTCATCTGGTCCCAGGGCCCTGGTGACAGTAGCCTCTGTTACTCTGCAGCAGCCAGTGTAGGTGGCCAGAATGTCACAAGGGTAGGCACTAAAAAGCCTCAGGAGCTCTGGCAGCCGGGTGGGGAGCTGGCCAATCAGGAGAGGGCATGCAAATGAGCCAGGTGCTTCCTAGCAGGGACCAGAGGCCAGGTCAGGGCAACAGCCTCAAGGGCTGGCCCTCGTGGGCTGTGGACTTTGGATGAGCATAAATGAGAATCAGGACACCGGGCACAGTGGCTCATGTCTCTAATCCCAGCACTTGGGGAGGCTGAGGCAGGCTGATCACCTGAGGTCAGGAGTTCAAGACCAGCCTGATCAACGTGGAGAAACCCTGTCTCTACTAAAAATACAGAAATTAGCTGAGCGTGGTGTCAGGCACCTGTAATCCCAGCTACTCGGGAGGCTAAGGCAGGAGAATTGCTTGAACCCAGGAGGCAGAAGTTGTGGTGAGCTAAGATCACACCACTGCACTCCAGCATGGGCAACAAGAGCAAAACTTCATCTCCAAAAAAAAAAAAAAATGAACTGGGACAATTTGCAGGAAGGGATTTGGGGGCGGGAGTAAGGTGGGGAGGAGGTAGGGTTCAAACATCAAGCTTTCTGAGGTGTGTCTAGGCCAGAGAAACTTACACAGTATGTGGCATCCACACCTCTGCTCTGTCAGTGTCTTTTCCTGGGAGTAAGATCAAGAAGAGAGAGGGGTCCCAGCTAATTTTTGTATATATATATTTTTTATTTTCTTTTTGTTTTTATTTTTTCTTTTTCTTTCCAGAACCCCTTAGAGAACTTGGAATTAATAATTTTTATATTTTTAATAGAGACAGGGTTTCACCCTGTTGGCCAGGCTGGTCTCGAACTCCTGGCCTCAGGTGATCCACCTACCTTGGCCTCCCAAAGTGCTGGGATTACAAGTGTGAGCCACCACACCCAGCCCCTTAGAAATCCTATTTCTAAGAGGCTATTAATATGTCTTTGCATTTCAGAAAACTGGGTCTAGTCAAAAAATAAGGATGGATGGAGGTCAAAATGGAAATGGATTTGGAGAACAGAGTGGAGGTGGGGACAGAGTAGGATGGAAGTGAGAGAGGGGTTGAGGGGAGGTCAGTGATAGGGAGGGGACAGGATAAGGAACAAGATGAGGAAGGGGGAAGGTGGAGTTGGAGTGGAGATGAGGATGAAAGTGAGGAAGGCTGGGTCATCCTCTGGCCTCTCCTACCATGCCCATCTACACAGATGCAAAGAAAACTTCATTCACTCATCGAATGTTTCTGGGACTCTTCCTGAATGCCAGACTTGTATTGGTACAGAAAAATGACTGTCTCCATACTTGCCTTCAAAGAGCTCACAGTCTGGGCTGCGGAGAGGTCTTTTTATATACAAAAACACTAGCTGGGCATGGTGGCTCACACCTGTAATCCTAGCACTTTGGGAGGTCAAGGCAGGTGGATCATATGGTCAGGAGTTTGAGACCAGCCTGGCCAACATAGTGAAACTCCGTCTCTATTAAAAATACAAAAAATTAGTTGGGCATGGTGGCTCAAGCCTGTAATCCCAGCAGTTTGGGAGGCCGAGGCAGGTGGATCACAAGGTCAAGAGATCGAGACCATCCTGGTCAACATGGTGAAACCCCGTCTCTACTAAAAATACAAAAAATTAGCTGGGCATGGTGGCGCGTGCCTGTAATCCCAGCGGCTCAGGAGGCTGGGGCAGGAGAATTGCCTGAACCCGGGAGGCGGAGGTTGCGGTGAGCCGAGATCGCGCCATTGCACTCCAGCCTGGGTAACAAGAGCGAAACTCCGTCTCAAAAAAAAAAAAAATACAAAAATTATCCAGGCATGGTGGCGCCTACCTGTAGTCCCAGCTCCTTGGGAGACTGAGGCAGGAGAATCGCTTGAACCCCAGAGGCAGAGGTTGCAGTGAGCCGAGATTGCACCACTGGACTCCAGCCTGGGCAACAGAGCACGACTCTCTCTCAAAACAAACAAACAAACAACAACAAAAATAAAAACACTGACATAATAGTTATGACAGACAAGTGGAGCACAGAAAGAGGAACCATCTATCACTGGTGGGAGTCTGGGAGGACTTCAGAGAGGAGGTGATGGATATGTGTGTTTAATTGTATTCATTGATTTATTTCAATTAGTGATACATTCACATGTTCAAAATCCTAAAGGCACAAAAGAACTTATGTCTGGTGATGGTTGCACAATTCTGTGAATGTACCAAAAACCATGGAAACCATTGAATTAGGCACTTTAAATGGGAGAATGATACAATATGTGACTTATAGCTCAATAAAATTGTATTTTAGAAAAGGGTCTGTGTCTCCATCCCACATCTGATTCTAGTCCCTCCCTGAAATCAAGTAATGCAGTGAGTTTCTTCTGTGTCTTTTTCATTGGGAGTCAGAAGTGATGTTTGACGTGGTGAATGAGCTGAATTTAGTCAAGTAGTAGACCGTGAACACAGTGTTCTGGCAGTGACACCAGCATGAAGGCTCATGGTTCCGTGAATGCCCCAATGGCTGGGGCATGGGGTGAGGGTGGCAGAATGTCAAAGACTGACTGGAGCTGGGTGGGCAGAGCCTTGGAGGCCATGCAAGGCAGTCTGTACTTTATCTGTAAGCAATGATGACCCAGACCTTTAAGCTGCATGAATAACAATGTGACAATAATTTTAAAACACCCAAATCTCCCTCCAACATCCCGTTGTCATTCATGTAATTTAAACTGCAGCTCTTGTCTCTAGCACTCATGCGTTCACCTAGTTAGGTAAGTATTGTCTAAATACACTTTCGTATTCTACTTTTTCCGTTTAATATTAATCAGAAGCATTTTTATAGGTTGTCATGTAGTACTCAAATGGATTTTTTTTTTTTGAGACGAAGTCTCGCTCTGTTGCCTAGGCTGGAGTGCAGTGGCATGATCTCAGCTCACTGCAACTTCCATCTCCTGGGTTCAAGTGATTTTCCTGCCTCAGCCTTCTGAGTAGCTGGGATTACAGGTGCCCACCACCAAGCCGGGCTAATTTTTTTATTTTTGGTAGAGATGGGGTTTCACTATGTTGACGAGGCTGGTCTCGAACTCCTGACCTCATGATCCGCCTGCCTTGACCTCCCAAAGTGTTGCAGTGATCCACTTCATCCAGTGGATATATATATATATTTTTTTTTTGAGAGGAAATTTTGCTGTCACCCAGGCTGGAGTGCAGTGGTGCAATCTCGGCTCACTGCAACTTCTGTCTCCTGGGTTCAAGTGATTCTCCTGCCTCAGCTTCCCAAGTAGCTGGGATTACAGGTGGAAGCGCCATCGCGCCTGGCTAATTTTTGTATTTTTAGTAGAGACGGGGTTTTACCATGTTGGCCAGGCTGGTCTCAAACTCCTGACCTCAGGTGATCCACCTGCCTTGGCCTCTCCAATTGCTAGGATTATAGGCGTGACCCACTGCTTCCGGCCAAATGGATGCTTTTTAAAGGATAAGAGGTACTCTATCAAGTTGATGGTAAATAAATCATTCCCCATTGGGCATTGGGTTGGTTCCAATTTGCTATCCAGAGGAAGAATGACCCAAATGGATCTTGGCTTTGGACAATGGCCTTTACATGGCCAACTCACATGCTCAGAGCTAAAAGGGACTCAGGGGGTCATCTGGGTTCATCTTTAGGGCTTCTGTGGTCGTGAGTAAGCACCCCGTCTGAACCCATTTCTTTATCTGGAAAATGATAATGTATTTAAATCACTCAAAAGCTTTTTAGGCCTTGGTAGATTTCTCTGACACTGGAAGGTCCATCCACAGCCTACCTGCTATGTATCAAAGGAACTATTTGAAGACACTGGGGTCCTGGTCAGGTAGGGTGACTCATGCCTGTAATCCCAGCACTTTGGGAGGCTGGGGCAGAAGGATTGCTTGAGGCCAAGAGTTCGAGACCAGCCTGAGCAATAGAGCAAGATTCTGTCTCTACAAAAAATGTATAAAATTAGCTGAGCTGGCCGGGCACAGTGGCTCACGCCTGTAATCCCAGCACTTTGGGAGGCCAAGGCAGGCAGATCATGAGGTCATGAGATTGAATCATGCTGGCTAACACAGTGAAACCCCATCTCTACTAAAAATACAAAAAATTAGCCGGGTGTGGTGCCATGTGCCGGTAGTCCTAGCTACTCAGGAGGCTGAGGCAGAAGAATCGCTTGAACCCAGGGGGCAGAGTTTGTAGTGAGCCAAGATTGAGCCACTGTACTCCAGCCTGGGCAACAGAGAGAGACTCCATCTCAAAAAATAAAAATAAAAAATTAGCCGAGCATGGTGGCACATGCCTGTAGTTTCAGCTACTTGGGAAGCTTGAGGTAGGAGGATCTGGGGCAGATGCACTCTGAAGGATCAAGAGGAAACACTCGGGGCTGCCTGCAGCAGTGCTGAGGCTGCAATTCAATTTTCTTTGATATCAGTGGTAGAATTTGTCCTCTAGGGGCCCGGTGCAATGGCTCACCCCTGTAATCCCAGCACTTTGGGAGACTGAGGTGGATAGATCACCTGAAGTCAGGAGTTCGAGACCAGCCTGGCCAACATGATGAAACCGTATCTACTAAAAATACAAAAAATTAGCTGGGCATGGTGGCGGGCACCTATAATCTCAGCTACTCGGGAGGCTGAGGCAAGAGAATCACTTCAACCCAGGAGGTAGAGATTGCAGTGAGCTGAGATTGCACCATTGTATTCCAACCTGGGCAACAAGATTGAAACTCCGTCTCAAAAAAAAAAAAAAAAAAAAAAAATTGTCTACTAGGTACTGTGCTACGTGCTGGCAGGGGGGTTAGTGGGTCCCAGACAGACAGACACGGCCCACTGACTGGCTTGGCCCAGGGGAGATGCTGCTGGAACAAGAAAACCTCTCTGATGGTTCTTGGAAGTGGGAGCTGGCCCCTGGCCCTTCATCTGCCCCTCCTTTCCTCCCAGAGGCTGCTGTTCTTCATCCAGACTATCTGGTCCCATCATCCCTGTAGCTGCCACAGAGACCTCGTCATATGAAGGGAAAGAGAGTGTAGCACTCTCACTAGGGACCGGGTCTCAAACACCTCCCTGCTGCGTGTCTCTTCTACCTTTTTTTTTTTTTTTTTTTTTTTTTTTGAGACAGAGTCTTGCTCTGTTGCCCAGGCTGAAGTGCAATACCATGATCTCAGCTCACTACAACCTCTGCTTCCCGAGCTTAAGCGATTCTCAAGCCTCAGCCTCCCAAGTTGCTGGGACTACAGGCATGCACCACCATGCCCAGATAATTTTTGTAGTTTTAGTAGAGATGGGGTTTCGCCATGTTGCCCAGGCTGGTCTCTAACTCCTGAGCTCAGGCATCCCATCTGCCTCGGCCTCCCAAAGTGCTAGGATTACAGGCATGAGCCACAGTGCCTGGCCCCTTATGCCTCTTTTTTTGTAGGGGGGGAATGGAGTCTCACTGTGTCGCCCAGGCTGGAGTGCAGTGGCGAGATCTTGGCTCACTGCAACCTCCACTTCCCAGGTTCCAGCTGTTCTCCTGCCTCAGCCTCCTGAGTGGCTGGGACCACAGGCACATGCCACCATGCCCATCTAATTTTTTGTATTTTTAGTAGAGATGGGGTTTCACCATGTTGGCCAGGATGACCTCCTTCTCCTGACCTCGTGATCCGTCCGCCTCAGCTTCCCAAAGTGCTGGGATTACAGGTGTGAGCCACAGCGCCCGGCCCCTTATGCCCCTTAACTTTATATCTCTGGGTCAGAATGTGATAGGGAACTATCCTTTCTTGAAGACCGCCAAGGAATGTGATCTCTCAGTCACTCCCAATTCTCCCATTGAGAAGGAGAAGCCATGTTTCTGTATTTTCACTTAAAAGAAAAATTAAACAAAAAAAACCAGAAGGAGAAGCCAATACAAGACAGACTACTCCAAGCCAGATGATTTTCATCTTTGCTTTACTTAATCCTCAGAACAACCTTGAAAGGCAAATGTTAATTACACCCATTTCACAGATGCAGAAACTACAATTCAGAGAGATTAAGAAGCATGCCCAGATCACCTGGCTGGTAAAAGGTAGGGCTGGGAATGAACCCAGATCTTTGCAGAATTATACCTCACTGCCTTTGCTGGGCCATGGCTCTTTTTCACTGCCTGGTAGGCCTGTTTGAAGAGTTAAAAAAGGTATCAGACTGGTCTGAATATTGTAAGAAAGGAGAAAAGAAAAAAGAATGAAACAAGGTAATGCTTGAGAAGCCTTTAGCACGTGATCCATGTTAAGTGACCCTCTCAGAGCAAAGTCAACACTCAAAGGGCAAGGTCAGAAACATGCATAAAGGGAGAGCCAGCGGCGAGTCTTCTCCAAGCTCGGTCTGGTGCTTTGGGTCCTTTTCCATCAGTCCTTACAGCTGCTGGTCAGATCCTAGCAGCCAAGATGGTGAAGCAGATCAACAGCAAGGTTGCTTTTTAGGAAGCCCTGGACACCGCAGGCAATAAACTTGTAGTAGTTGACTTCTCAGCCAGGTGGTGTGGGCCTTGCAAAATGATCGAGCCTTGTTTTCATTCCCTCTCTGAAAAGTATCCAACGTGGTATTCCTTGAAGTAGATGTCGCTGACCGTCAGGATGTCGCTTCAGAGTACGAAGTCAAACGCATGCCAACATTCCAGTTTTTTAAGAAGGGACAAAAGGTGGGTGGATTTTCTGGAGCCAACAAGGAAAAGCTTGAAGCCACCATTAATGAATTAGTCTAAGCATGTTTTCTGAAAATATAACCAGCATTGGCTATTTAAAACTTGTCTTTTTTTTTATTTACAAAAAATACAAAGACTATAAATCCAATTGCCATCTGGGTGACAATAAATCATTAATTCTAACACTTAAAAAAAATATGCACAGTTGCTTTTCACAAAGGCACTCAACCTTGACTGCACATTGAAATCACCTGGGAAGCTTGTAAAACTCAACATACCCAGACTGCACCTCAGCTTAATAAGATCAGAGCCTGTGGGGGCAAAATTCAGACATGACTGGCTTTTAAATTTCCCCAGGTGAGGCCAGGTACGGTGGCTCGTGCCTTTGAGAGGCCAAGGCAGGTGGATCATCTGAGGTTGAGAGTTCAAGACCAGCCCGGCCAACATAGAGAAACGCCATCTCTACTAAAAATACAAAATTAGTTGGGTGTGGTGGTGCCCGCCTGTAATCCCACTACTCGTGAGGCTGAGGCAGGAGAATCGCTTGAACCCGGGAGGTAGAGGTTGCAGTGAGCTGAGATCACACCACTGCACTCTAGCCTGGGCAACAAGAGCGAAACTCCATCTTAAAAAAAAAAAAAAAAAAAAAACAACTTTCCCTAAGTGATTCTGATTCTACTGTATAGCCAAGGTTGGGAGAACTCTGGAGACAGTAGTTCAGTTCCAAGCCTCCCAAGAGGGGGCCGACTAAACAGTCTAAGACATAAAGACTGTGTCCATCAGAAGGCACAGAAAGGGGCCAGGCACAGTGTCTCACGCCTATAATCCCAGCACTTCGGGAAGCTGAGGTGGGCAGATTACTTGAGTCCAGGAGACCAGCCTGGGCAACATAGCAAAACCCTGTTTCTACAAAATACCAAAAAAAAAAAAAAAAATTAGCCAGGATGGTGACATGCACCTGTGGTCCCAGCTACTAAGGAGACTGAGGTGGGAGGATCACTTGAGCCTGGGAGGCAGAGGCTGCAGTGAGCTGAGATCATGCCACTGCACTCCAGCCTTGGTGACAGAGTGAGAAGACCCCATGTCCCTCAGAAAGGGAGCATCACAAAGCCTGTCCTGAAAGTGACAACCACATCTGGAGCCGAGGACCTGACCAGGGCCAGGACACGTCCCATCCTAAAGGCACTTTAGCCATGCAGATGGAGGCACCCAGCCCTATTGAAGCTATCTGGTGACCAACTGCTGGTTCTAATTCCCAACTCGACAGGCCAGCTTCCTACCACATCATGGCGATGGGAGAAAATGGACACATCACTTACATATCTTATTGTAAATGAACTCATTGGCATTCTAAGAAGAATTACTTTGGCTTTGACAGTTACAGTAAATCAACAGATGGACCTTCAGGTGTAATTTTGGTAAATATAGACCTTCCCTGAAAGACAATTCCCGTTGGTGAGCTGAGCTGAGGAATCTGGTTTCTGATTCAGGCTTCTCCCTTGGACTGGGGTGAATTCACCAAGAAGCCATCTTGAGGTATCCTGGGAGATGTCAGCCAGCCTCGTCTGACGCAACCAGCCTAGCCAGGGACTTCACATCCAACTTTCAGAGCAGAAACTCTGTGTAAGCAAATTCCTCCCCTCCTTCCCTCCTCTCCTATAGTTCTGGCTTTCTGTATTGTTTGTTTTCTGAGATGAGGTCTTGCTCTGTCACCGAGGCTGGAGTGCAGCGGCTCGATCTTGGCTCACACACTGAATTCTATTTCCTTGACCACGTGTGTCCTCCCCTCATTCCCCACACTGAACCTGGCTTTGGTGGCCTGGTGCCCAGCGTGGTGTCACGCCCATGTGTGGATGCTTAAATACATCTTTGAAATGTGAATAAACAGCAAACATTGTTACATAGGAGTCATTTTTTCCTCTTTAAAAAATGCAGCCTAAACTTCTTGAGCTCAAGTGATCCTCCCAACTCAGCCTCCTGAGTAGCTGGGACTATAGGCACATGCCACTACCACCGGCTAATTTTTTTTTTTCTCTTTTTTTGAGACAGGGTCTTGCTCTGTCACTCAGGCTGGAGTGCAGTGGTGCAATTACAACTCACTACAGCCATGGCCTCCCAGGCCTAAGCAATCCTCCTGCCTCAGCCTTCTGAGTAGCTGGGATTACAAGTTTATACCACAATACCCAGCTAATTTTTAAAATTTTTGTAGAGACAGAGTCTCCCTATGTTGCCCAGGCTGGTCTTGAACCTTGAGCTTAATGGATCTTCCTACCTTGGCCTCCCAAAGCGCTGGGAGTAATAGGTGTGAGCCACCGTGCCTGGTCCCCTCCTATGGTTTTCCCCTGGCCAACATCCCTCTTATAAATCTTCAAAGCTTCTCACTGCAGGGAATATTAGGTCAATCACATACCTGGGTTCAGTCCCTACACTGCAGTCATCCTGATGCTCACACCCCAGACACCCCAGACCATGCCTCCTCCTCCAAGCAGGCCGCTCCCACCGCTAAGCCTCTGCCCATGTGCTCTGATTCTGCCCTCCCTTCCTTCCACTGCTTCCTTCCTCCTTCTTCTTCCTTCTTCATCTAGTGACAGCTTATTCATCCTCCAAAACCCAACTTGAATACCACTCTCTCTACCTTTCCCTGAACAGCATTATTTACTTTGTTCTCTCTGCTCCCACAGTACTTTGGACAGAACTCTGCCACGGAGGTTCACACACTGAACTCTACCTCCTTGACCACGTGTGTCCTCCCTTCACTCCCCACACTGAACCTGGCTTTGGTGGCCTGGTGCCCAGCGTGGTGTCTCGCCCATGTGTGGGGGCGTAAATACATCTTTGAAATTTGAATAAACAGCAAACATTGTTACATAGGAGTCATTTTTTCTCTTTAAAAGCCACGTCATGGTTGGGCGCGATGGCTCACACCTGTAATCCCAGCACTTTGGGAGACCGAGGCGGGTGGATCACGAGGTCAGGAGTTCGAGACCAGCCTGGCCAACATGGCGAAACCCCATCTCTACTAAAAATACAACAACAAAAAAATTAGCCGGGCACAATGGCACATGCCTGTAATCCCAGCTACTCTAAGCCTGAGTCAGGAGAAACTCTTGAACCCAGGAAATGCAGGTTGTGTTGAGTGGAGATCATGCCATTGCACTCCAGCCTGGGTGACAGAGCAAGACTCCGTCTCAAAAAAAAAAAAAAACCACATATCCATTTTCTCATTGGACTATTTCAAAAGAGAAGATCTAGGGACATCCAAAGATCCTAAGTGAAAAATTACCCTGGCTGCACGGGTTGGGCCAGGACACAGGGCCAAAGGGCAGCAGCAACACACCGAGCCCCGGCGTCTCCTTTCCAGATGAGACCTGACTGCCTGGGCCAGCAACACAGCAGAGGCAGCAGGGAGGGGGAGACGGGGCCAGAGGGTTTCTGGGCAGGTGGTAGCTGGCAGATCTAAAAATCAATTCCCCACACTGGGCTGTCACTGAAACAGCCCAGGAGTAGCCCAGAGCCTGGAGGTAGATCTGAAAGGGCAGGGTGTGGGAAGATTAGAAGCATAGGCTAGAAATTGGACCACAAATATGGAATTTGACATGTGGGTGGAGAGGGGTGTTTTGGAGGCTGCAAATCAATAAATTAATGTTTTCCTCAATCTGGGTAAGCAGAGGCAATGCGGTATAGTGGTTTACAGTGTGGCTTCTGGAACTAGATTCCTGGGGTTTGAATTCAGCACATGTGACCTTGAACAAATTGTTTCTTTTTTTTTTTTTTGAGATAGAGTTTTGCTCTTGTAGCTAAGGCTGGAGTGCAATGGTGCAGTCTCAGCTCACTGCAACCTCTGCCTCTGGGGTTCAAGCGATTCTCCTGCCTCAGCCTCCAGAGTAGCTGAGATTACAGGCATGCACCACCATGCCCAGTTAATTTTGTATTTTTAGTAGAGACGGGGTTTCTTCATGTTGGCCAGGCTGGTCTCAAACTCCCGACCTCAGGTGATCCGCCCACCACGGCCTCCCAAAGTGCTGGGATTACAGATGTGAGACACTGTGCCCTGCCGACCTTGAAAGAGTTATTTAACCCCCAGGTGGTGGGCCCCTTGCCTGCAAACTAGCCCTGGGGCTGCAAAAAAAAAAAAAAAAAGAGTTATTTAACTTCTCTGTATTTTACTTTCCTCGCTTATAAAAGGGGAGCAGTAATAAAATCTACCTCAGGATTTTTATGAAAATTAAATTAGTAAATCCATGTAATTTTTCAAAACAAGTCCCTGGCTTATATAGTAAATGCTCAGTGAATGTGAGCTATTATTTACTATTTTATTAACTAGCATCTATGAGGTGTTTCAGTGCTGTGTAAGGAAACCACGTGGCTCACATCCGTAACGCCCATACTTTGGGAGGCTGACGCAGGAGGATCCCTTGAGCCCAGGAGTTCAAGACCAGCCTGGGCACTATAGCAAGACCTTGTTTCTAAAAAAAAAAAAAAAAAAAAAAAATCTTGGCCGGTTGCTGTGGCTCACACCTGTAATCCCAACACTTTTGGAGGCTGAGGCGGATGGATCAGAAGGTTAAGAGCTAGAGACCGTCTTGCCCAACATGGTGAAACCACGTCTCTACTAAAAAAAAAAATACAAAAAATAGCTGGGCATGGTAGCACCTGCCTGTAAATCCCAGCTACTCCAGAGGCTGAGGCAGGAAAATTGCTTGAACCAGGGAGTTGGAGGTTGCAGAGTCGAGATTTCGCCTCTGCACTCCAGCCTGGTGACAGGGAGACTCTGTCTCGAAAAACAACAACAAAAATTTTTGTATGTTAGCCAGGTGTGATAGAAAGCACTCATAGTTCTAGCTACTTGGGAGGCTGAGGCAGGACGATTCCTTGAGCCCAGGAGTTCAGGGCTGCAGTGAGCTATGACGGATTGCACCACTGCACTCTGACCTGAGCAGCAGAGCAAAACACTGTCTTAAAACAAAAAGAAAAGAAAAAGGAAACCACCATAAAACACAGTGGCTTAAAACAATAAATCAATGCCTTGCTCACAATTCTGTAGGTCAGCAATCTGGCCCAGGCTCTGTGGGCAGTTATGCCGAATTCCCCTGGGATCACTCCATGGATCACCCATATGGACTGGGGCTGGGATTTAACTTTTTTTTTTTTTTTTTGAGATGGAGTCTTGCTCTGTCACTGAGGTTGGAGTGCAGTGGCGCGATCTCTGCTCACTGCAGTCTCCGCTTCCCAGGTTCAAGTGATTCTCCTGCCTCACCCTCCCGAGTAGCTGGGATTACAGGTGCTTGCCACCACGCCTGGCTAATTTTTTGTATTTTTAGTAGAGACGAGGTTTTATCATGTTGGCCAGGCTGGTCTCGAACTCCTGACCTCAGGTGATCCACCAGTCTCGGCCTCCCAAAGTGCTGGGATTACAGGTGTGAGCCACCATGCCCGGCCCTCCAAGCTTTACTTTTTATATTTTATTATTTCTTATTTAATTTTTATTGGAATGCTTCACGAATTTCCATGTCATGCTTGTGCAGGGCCCATGCTCATCCTCCCTGTGCTGCTGCAGTTTTAGTCTCTGTGCTGCCAAAGCGATCACTGCAGTCCCCAGGAAGGAGCAACAGGCATTTTGCTCTCTGGGATGCAAGGCTGGAGAGATCCCCTGGGCTTACATGACCCTGGTGCTGGCCTGTCTTTCCACCCACTAGAGTGAACGAAATGTTAAAAATAAAACAAACACTGCTGTTCCCTTCCACCCTAAGGGAGGGAGGCACGCTAGACTCTCCCTGCCCCCTCCCTGTCTCTCTGGCCTGCTGGCTGGAGATCAGGCACCGTCAGGGAGACAGATGCTGTCGGGACAGGAGGCTGTTTACTTGCTAGCAGAGCACTGCTGTGTTTTCACAGCCCAGAATAGCTCCATAGCCATCCCCAGGCCCGGGGACCTAGGAGCCTCACTGTTTGTTTTCATGACAATTCTGGGTCTCACCTCTTCCCTTCTGTGAGTCAAGGTCCTCATCTGAGAACTCTCAGAGTGGGTATGGTGTGGGTTCAAGGGGCCAAGACTACTAATTTCCTAATTATCTCTCCCAGCTGGCTCGGGAAGAGGGGAGGACTAATAACTGACTGTGCAACACCGGCGTTTCGGGTGGGATGGAATTTCCCCAGCTTGCAAAGCAAGAGGTGATTGAAGGACTGCATGGCCAGGGCCGAGGTGGGGTGTGGGGAGGGGAGGGGGAAGAAAACAAGGGAATGAAAGAGCGTAGAAGGGATGACTCCAGTCTGGATTGCAGCAAGTTCTGTTCCAGGAGCTTTCACTAGAGAATGCTGGGGGCTTCTCTGACTCACGGTGCCTCTCAGATCAGGCTGGGTTCCAGCTGCCCTGGTGTTTAGAAGGAATCGGGGGTAGGAGGAACCCGGGCTTCACAGAATACTCTTTCAAACTACAATGTTTTTAACGATGTGAGTGAGTTACTTTTGAAAATATTTTAGGTTCGCGCCTGTAATCCCAGAACTTTGGGAGGCTGAGGCAAGTAGATCACCTGAGGTCGGGAGTTTGAGATCAGCCTGGCCAAAATTGTGAAACCCCGTCTCTGCTAAAAAAAAAAACAAAAATTAGTCGGGCCATGGTGGCAAATACCTGTCATCCCAGCTACTTGAGTGGCTGAGGCACAAGAATTGCTTGAACCAGGGAGGAGGAGGTTGCAGTCGGCCATGATCGCGCGACTGCACTTCAGCCTGGGCTACAGAGGGGGACCCTGACTCAAAATAAATAAATAAATAAATAAAAAGAGGCTGGACACAGTGGCTCACGCCTGTAATCCCAGCACTTTGGGAGACCAGGGTGGGTGGATCACCTGAGCTCAAGAGTTCGAGACCAGCCTGCGCAAATAGTAACACCCTATCTCTACTAAAAATACAAAAAATTAGCTGGTCATGGTGGCATGTGCCTGTAATCCCAACTACTCGGGAGGCTGAGGCAGGAGAGTTTCTTGAACCCAGGAGGCGGAGGTCGCAGTGAGCCAAGATCTTGCCACTGCACTCAAGCCTGGGCAACAGAGAGAGACCCTGTCTCAAAAAAAAAAAAAAAGAAAATATTTTAATTTTTAAAATATGACCACATTTATCTTTTTTTTCTGGGAATCATTAATCTTTTACTTCTGTTAGATAATTCAAAGCCAGGCATCCCTTCACTGGAGCTTCGTTCAAAGGACTGCCACCACTCAGAATATCAAAGCTGAACAGAGGGTGAGGGTCTTATTTTACAGTTGACAAAAGCGAAACCCAGAGGCTCCAGTGACTTGACCAAGGTTGCACAGCTCTTTAATTTTATTTACTTTATTTTTAAAACTCTGGTGATGGCCATGAGGGAGGGATGGTTTCCTGGCCTGCCTGCAGGATCCTTGAGAGTGTTTCTTTTTTTTTTTTTTTTGAAACAGTTTCACTCTGTTGCCCAGGCTGGAATACAATAGCACAATCTCGGCTCACCACAACCTCCGCCTCCTGGGTTCAGGTGATTCTCCTGCCTCAACCTCCCAAGTAGCTGGGATTACAGGCATGCACCATGACGCTCGGCTAATTTTGTATTTTTAGTAGAGACGGGGGTTTCTCCGTGTTGGTCAGGCAGGTCTCAAACTCCCAACCTCAGGTGCTCCATCTGCCTTGGCCTCCCAAAGCGCTGGGATTACTGGTGGGAGCCACTGCGCCCAGCCTGAGAGTGTTTCTGCTTGTCTTCTAAGGAAAAGGAAGAAGCACCTTCTGCCCCTTGCCCACCTCCTATCCACCAGTCCCAACCTCTCTCCCATCTACATCCAGCCTGAGAAAGGGCTGTGCAATTGATGACCCGGTTTTTCTTCCCTCCTTCTCAATGCTTTAGTCCGTCTCAATGCTTCCAAAGAATCCTTGGATTGAAGCAAGGAGGGACAACAGTTTGGGCTTAGGTCAAGTCACACTTCCCTTCTCTCCTCAAATAGCCCTTCTTTCCCTCTGGGATACAGACCAGGACCAAGGGGAAAGTCAGCCTTTTAAAAATAGTCCTGACCACACTTTTGCAGGCTTCCTTCCCTTGCCTCTGCCTCTGTAGTGCGCCATCAATGAAGTTTAACTCCTGGCAGAAAGGATGAAATTTGACAGCAAAAATGCTTTCTTTTTTTTTTTTTAAGATGGAGTCTCACTCTGTCGCCCAGGCTAGAGTGCAGTGGCGCAATCTTGGCTCACTGCAACCTCCGCCTCCCAGGTTCAAGCGATTCTCCTGTCTCGGCCTCTTGAGTAGCTGGGATTACAGGTGTGTGCCATCACACCCTGCTAATTCTTGTTTTTATTTTTAGTGGAGATGGAGTTTCACTATGTTGGTCAGGCTAGTCTCAATTTGCCTGACCTTGTGATCCGTCCCCCTCCCAAAGTGCTGGGATTACAAGCATAAGCCACTGCACCTGGCCAACAAAAATGTTTTCTAACTGCAAAGGTGGTTTGGCACTGCAAAGCGTTGATTAAGAATGGGAGAAGAGGCCGGGCACCATGGCTCACGCCTGTAATCCCAACACTTTGGGAGGCTGAGGCGGGCAGATCACGAGGTCAGGAGATGGAGACCATCCTAGCCAACGTGGTGAAACCCCGTCTCTACTAAAAATATAAAAAAATTAGCTGGGTGTGGTGGCGCATGCCTGCAGTACCAGCTACTCTGGAGGCTGAGAAATGAGAATTGCTTGAACCCAGGAGGCGGAGATTGCAGTGAGCCAAAATCATGCCACTGCACTAGAGCCTGGGTGACAGTGCGAGACTCCATCTCAAAAAAAAAAAAAAGAATGGGAGAAGAGGTTGGGCGTGGTGGCTCACGCCTGTAATCTCAGCACTTTGGGAGGTTGAGGCGGGTGGATCACTTGAGGTCAGGAGTTTGAGACCAGCCTGGCCAACATGGTGAAACCCCAGTCTCTGCTAAAAATACGAAAAATTATCCGGGTATGGTGGTGTGAGCCTGTAATTTCAGTTACAGGCTCTTCAATTACAGGCTGAGGCAGGACAATTGCTGGAGCCTGGAAGGCGGAGGTTCCAGTGAGCTGAGATCGTACCACTGCACTGGAGCCTGGGTAACAGAGCAAGACTCTGTCTCAAAAAAAAAAAAAAAAAAAAAAAAAATGAACAGGAGAAGAGTCTACCATCTGTTTGTGAGGGAACTGGTTGAATGTTTGTGGAAACAGGTTACTTCCTGGAGGGAACAACAGCTTCTTTTGGGAAAGGGGGCTAAGGAAGAGGGAGGAGGAGAGGAAGGGCAGGCTGTGCTTCCCGTAAAGGTTCTGGTGACTCATGTGACTTTGGAAGAAGGCAGGCCCTGGGATGATGGCAGGGAGAAGGTATCGAGTGGGTTGTTCTGAACTGTTTACAATGCAGCAAATGCCTTCAGGTTTTCTTCTGTGGACAAAATGTGCAGCCATCCTGAGACATGCTGCATGCTTCCCCTACCTGGTCAGCAGAGGTACAGTTCAAGGTCCTGAAGCTGAACTTTCTCACTGTGCCAGAGAGAAGCTAGCCCTTTGCACTGGCAAACAATAATTAACCCACCTCTCCCTCCACCTGTTTTTCTCAATATGTTTTTCTAAAACATAAACTGGGTCACTCACTTAGAAGGTGAGTGTTGATCTGGCCAGTTTCCCAAGTCCACCGTGAAACACTTCCTCCGCTGATCACTTGGTAGGTGAAAAAAAAGCATACAAAAGAAAAGTAATTAAAAATAGTAAAACTGTACATTTTGCAGTTTGGGCTATAACCCTTCAGAGAAATCTACCCTGCTGCTTGGATTAAGCTGTGGACTAGAGCTAGGTTTTTTTTTGGCGGGGGAGGGGTTTATAGTTTATTTCAAAGAGACAGGGTCTCGCTATGTCTGGAGTGCAGTGGCTATTCACAGGCATGATCCCACTACTGATCAGCACGGGAGTTTTGACCTGCTCTGTTTCTGACCTGGGCCGATTCACCCCTCCTTAGGCAACCTGGTGGTCCCCGCTCCCAGGAGGTCACCATATTGATGCTGAACTTAGTGCAGACACCCGATCGGCATAGCGCACTACAGCCCAGAACTCCTGGACTCAAGAGATCCTCCAGCCTCAGCCTCCCGAGTAGCTGGGACTACAGGCAAGCGCCACCGCACCCAGCTGGAGCTAGGTTTTGAATACCATCTATAGTATGTAGACAACATCGATTCTAGGCCAGGCGCAAGGGCTGACGCCTATAATCCCAACACTTTGGGCGGCTGACACAAGAGGACGCTTCAGCCCAGGAGTTACAGACAAGCCTGGGCAACAAAGTGAAACCCTGTTTCTACAAAAAATTAGCCAGGCATGGTGACGTGGGCCTGTAGTCTCAGCTACTGGAGAGGCTGAGCTGCGAGGATCACTTGAGACCCAGGAGGTTGAGGCTGCAGTGAGCTATTATGGGACCATTGCACTCCAGCCTGGGCAACAGCATGAGACCCTGTCTCAAAAAAAAAAGAACCATTGTAGGATGATAACTGAGTAAAGGAAAGGTGGCTCCTTTCTCAACAGAACCCAGAGGCCCCCCCCCAGAATAGAAGATTCGGCTTCAGGTAAAATCAGACTTTCTTTTTGGGAGTAAATGTAATTTTTGGATGAGGTGTGTGGTAAGTTACAGCTCCTTTTTCCTCTTTGCGTTCTCGTCTGCAAATAAACTTGTTTGAGTGAATGAGTCAACCTTGGCCTGGGAGAAGGTGCCAGGGCCCTGGATCCAGCTGCCTTTATTTATCAGCCAACCAGACTGTACTCCCTGGCACCTTTCCTTCATGTTCTCCAGATCCAAAGCCTCTGATTTCTGGTTGTGGGGAAAATGCCTGAGGAGTGGCTTGCTTGGGCACCTACCGAAGACGAGCCAGAATGATTTTCCATCCTCATTCCTTCCCCAACTCGGCTGGCCATTTTCCCAGAGGGGATTAACCATCTTCTCCACTGAGGATAAAATAATAGGGAACTTACTGATAGTTCTACAAAGGAAATCGAAATATTTCACCCCAAACTATGGCTCCCCAGTACAATAAGTACTTTGTTTGTGACAGGACCTTGCTCTGTTGCTCTGGCAGGAGTACAGTGGCCCTATCACGGCTCAGTGTACCTCCCGGTTCAAGTGATCCTCCCACCTCAGCCTCCTGAGTAGCTGGGATTATAGGCTCCTGCCATCACACCGGGCTAATTTTTATAATTTTTATAGAGACGGGGTTTCACCATGTTGGCCAGGCTGGTCTCAAACTCCTAAGCTCAAGTGTTCTGCACACCTTAGCCTCCCAAAGTGCTGTGTTTACAGGTGTGAATCATCTGGAATGCAATGGCATGATTGTAAGCCATGACGATATTAAATAAAAGACCCTTGGGAGGTTTTCTTTCTAACCCTTGGGAGACTGGAAGAGATTTTTTCCCTATCTTTGACCTATAAAGATAGGACTAGCCGGGCGTGGTGGCTCACACCTGTAATGCCAGCACTTTGGGAGGCTGAGGCGGGCAGATCACGAGGCCAAGAGATCAAGACCATCCTGGACAACATAGTGAAACCCCGTCTCCACTAAAATACAAAAATTAGCCGGGCATGGTGGTATGTGCCTGTAGTCCCAGCTACTCAGGAGACTGAGGCAGGAGAATTGCTTGAACCCAGGAGGTGGAGGTTGCAGTGAGCCAAGATCGCACCACTGCACTCCAGCCTGGCGCCTGGTGACAGAGTGAGACTCTGCCTCAAAAAAAAAAAAAAAAATAGGACTGGCTGGGCATGGTGGCTCACGCCCTATAATCCCAGCACTTTGGGAGGCCGAAGCAGGTGGATCACCTGAAGTCAGAAGTTCAAGACCAGTCTGGCCAACATGGTGAGACCCCCATCTCTACTAAAAATAAAAAAATTAGCCGGACGTGGTGGCATGCATCTATAATCCCAGCTACTGGGGAGGCTGAGGCAGGAGAATTGCTTGAACCCAGGAGGCAGAGGTTGCAGTGAGCCAAAATCGTGCCACTGCACTCCAGCCTGGGCAACAACAGCAAAACTCTAAACTCCATCTCAAAAAAAAAAGGACTGACACACGAAAACAACTTTTCTTCTTCTTCCTTTATCCCATTATCCAGTTCAGGAAAGAAGACCAAAAATCTAACCATAAAACGGGTCTCAACAGACCCTTTTTCAAGATAATGACAGTCTCTGAGGATCATTTAAAATCCAGGGAGAACTATTTACAAGTTAACTTCTGTTCCTGGATTCAATCATTCTCCCTCTGCCCTTTGATATAATTATTTTTCTCCCCCACTCCCATAACCTGTTTTTGTAAGAATCCAACCCCCTGTTCTTTCTGTAGCCTCAAGATGGTAGATAAGCTTCCATACCTCATTGGGAAGTTGGATCTTCATTCTGAAGCCTCCCATGTACACATGTTAAATACATTTGTATGCCTTTTCTCCTATTAATCAATCTGCCTTATGACTGATTTTTCAGCGAACTTGTACCTTGTCACCCACATAAGAATCCTCCAGTTTACATAGTTTTGTAAATATCAGGCCACCTTGTCCCACTAGGCTGCCAAGGTCCTGGAGGACAGCTGGGATTTAACTTTTTTTTTTTTGAGACAGAGTCTTTCTCTGTCACCGAGGTTGGAGCGCAGTGGCGCGATCTCTACTCACTGCAACCTCTGCCTCCCGGGTTTAAGTGATTCTCTGCCTCCTGAGTAGCTGGGACTACAGGTGGCTACCACCACACCCAGCTAATTTTCATATTTTTAGTAAAACGAGGTTCTGCCTTGTTGGCCAGGCTGGTCTTGAACTCTTGACTTCAGGTGATCTGCCCACTGCAGCTTCCCAAAGTGCTAGGTTTACAGGTATGAGCCACCATGCCTGGCCTGGGATTTAACTTTTAATTCCTCAGAGAGCCAGGTGCTTTGCTCAGGAAGCATTGGTTGAATTAAACTAGAGCAATCTTGAAAAGGAAAAATAACAAGAGTTAGAGGGAGATGGCAGGAAGCCCTCTCTGAAGATAGGTCTTTATATAAGAGGATTCTGCAGGGCACTGTTGCTCATACCTGTAATCCCAGCATTTTGGGAGGCCAAGGCAGGAGTATCATCTGAGGCCCGGAGTTCAAGACCAGTTTGGGCAACATAGTGAGACCTCCATCTCCACAAAAAATAAAAAATTAGCTGGGTTTGGTGGTATGTGCCTGTAGTCCCAGCTACCCAGAGGCTGAGGCAAGAGGATCACCTAAGCCTGGGGGATTGAGGCTGCAGTGAGCTGTGATGGTGCCACTGCACTCCAGCCTGGGCAACAGAGTGAGGCCTCATCTCAAATAAATAAACAGATCAATGAGTGGATTCTCAGCAAAACTTCTAGCCACTCACCTCCTAGAGCCACAGGACCTTTGAGAAACCACAGCATCTCGATGCAGTCAGCTTTCTAACAAGCTCAGGTCCTTTGGGGCCTCACCTATTTTCCCACAGATAAAAACATGCTGGAGGAAGCAGAAAAGGGCTGGAAGGTAGACTGGTGAGGACTTGCTCATCATCTCATGACTGTGAAGTTGCTCTGACCCAGAGGGTCCCCCTGCCTGGCAGGCACCTGCAAGGAAGACTCCCACTGCCCCTGGATGCCCAGAGTGGGATGCCAGCTCTGTCATTTATGAACTCCTTATCCACAGGGGCATTCTCCCTGAGGCTCCTCAGAAAATAGGGCCCTCCATTGGCTCCCCATATGCTGTGCGCGTGATAGAACCCTTCCTAAGAGACCCTGGCTCCTAGCTGCCCTGCCATGACCCAGACGGTGGCCTTTGGATATTTTTTTAGACTCACCTTGCCTCACCTCAGACCATAGAAACTAATCCCAGAGGTCACTGCAATAGTCACTCCACAATAGAGGCTTATCTGGGTAGAGAGAGGCTCCCTACCTGTGGCTCAGCTGTCCTGACAGTGCAAATTGCATACACCCCACGCCCCAATACTGCCACACATGGGCTTTCTTTGCACCCACCACATTACCTGCTCTCCGAGGTTAGATGTGGCAGGAGAATGTTGCTTGGACCAGCAGAAACCATTCGGTCAAGGGCAATTGGAGTCAGCATGAGCTGGGTGGGAGCCCTTGGTGGGGTGGGGAGGAGACTCCAGGTCATACCTCCTGGAGGATGTTTTAATCATTTCCAGCATGGAATGTTGTTAACCTTTGCCACAGATTCATTAGGTCTGAGTTTCTTTTCTCTGTCCTGAGCTACCCCTTACATGTCAATATAGACTTCATGAAGGAAAATTCAGGCAAGTTTTTAAACGCATTATTCCTTCTAGCTCTTATTCTCAAAAATGAGTGAATTTGGGGGCAGTGGCTCCTGCCTATAATCCAACACTTTGCAAAGCTGAGGCGGGAGGATCAGTTGAAGCCAGGAATCTGAGACCAGTCTGGGCAGCATGGTGAGACCCTGTCTCTAGAAAAATAAACAAATAAATAAATAATAAATAATAGTGATATGAAGCATGATTAAATAGCCCTATTTTAAAAAATACATGAATTCATTACCCAATTCATTCCCTGATTCCTTTCACAGTCCTCCGTAACCCAAGTGTGAGGGTTTTGGTCACTCTACTATTTACAGGCTGATATGTAGTATGCACACATACACACACATAATGTATCTTGAGCTTCCTTTTGTACATATACAATATATACAAGAAAGCTCAAGACACAGAAGCCCTTTTTCAAAATTAACTGAAAGTTTCAAACTCTTTTAAGTCTTCAGTAACCAATTGGCTGGTATGCTTATTTAGAACCATATATTCATCATATTGTTGTACAGTATGACTGTACATTCATTCTATTGCTTAAACTTATGAGTTAAAACACTTGGCCAAGCATGGTGGTTCACACCTGTAATCCCAGAGCTTTGAGAACCAAGGCTGGCAGATGGCTTGAGCTCAGGAGTTCAAGACCAGCCTGGGCAACATGGCAAAATCCTATCTCTACAAAAGATACAAAAATTAGCCTGGCATGATGGCATGTGCCTGTGGTCCTAGATACTCAGGAGGCTGAGGTGGGAGGATCATGTGGGCCCAGGAGGCTGAGGCTGCAGTGAGCTTTGATTATGCCACTGCACTCCAGCCTGGGTGACACGGAGAGACCCTGTCTCAAAAAAAAAAAAGAGAGAAAATTAAAAAAAAAAAAAAAAAAAAACAGGCTGGGCACGGTGGCTCACACCTGTAATCCCAGTACTTTGGGAGGTTGAGGTGGGTGGATCACAAGAACAAGAGATTGAGACCATCCCAGCCAACATGGTGAAACTCCATCTCTACTAAAAAATACAAAAATTAGCTGGGCGTGGTTACACGCACCTGTAGTCCCAGATACTCGGGAGACTGAGGCAGGAGAATGGCTTGAACCCAGGAGGCAGAGATTGCAGTGAGCCGAGATTGCACCACTGCACTGCAGCCTGGTGCCTGGCAACAGAGCAAGACTCTGTCTCAAAAACAACAACAATGACTCCACCACCAAGGGCTGTAACTTTAAGGTCATTAAATGAATTAATCACTGCATTCAAAAATGATTACTTTGTGGCCCTAAGTGATGTGAAGCCAATACCAGGAAGGGGGTTGATCTCCCAAACCAGAGGCAGACCGGAGACTCTAATACAGTTAAGGAAACACCAGCAAGATGGCAGTCCCTAATACAATAGTAGTTACTATATTTTATTTGTTGTTTTTCTTTTGTTTTGTTTTTTTAGAGACAGGGGTCTTGCTCAGTTGCCCAGGCTGGAGTGCAGTGGTGGGACGATACCTTACTTCAGCCTTCAATTCCTGGGCTCAAGCAATCCTCCTGCCTCAGCTTCCTGAATAGCTGGGACTACAAGTGTACACTACCACACACCCCAACTTTTTTTTTTTTTTTTTGAGATGGAGTCGTGCTGTGTCGCCCAGGCTAGAGTGCAATGGCGCAATCTCGGCTCACTGCAACCTCCACCTCCTGGGTTCAAGCAATACTCCTGCCTCAGCCTCCTGAGTAGCTGGGACTACAGAAGCACACCACCACGCCCAGGTAATTTTTGTATTTTTAGTAGAGACAGGGTTTCACCATGTTGGCCAGGCTGGTCTTGAACTCCTGGCCTCATGATCTGCCCACCTCGGCCTCCCAAATTGCTGGGATTACGGGTGTGAGCCACCACAACCCGCCAGAACTTACTAATTTTAAAATTAGGAACTTAAAACTTGAGTAGCTGGAGCAACAAGATTTTTCTTTGTCCCCAAATAAGTGCTGTTGCAGACATAGAAAATCTGACATCTTTGCAAGAATCATGGTGGAGGTAGACTCTGTCCTATCTCTGGCCTGGTTTCGGGGACCTGGAGGGCAGCCCCTTGCACTGCCAAGAAGCATGCCAAAGTTAATCATTTGCCCTGCTGAGTACATGGCCGATCAGGCTGTTTTTGTGTGCCTATTTTCTATTTTACGTAAATCATCCTGAACACGTTTGCATCAACCTACTGGTGATGCACCTTTGATCAATATATTTTAGACAAAAGTGGTTTTTGAGTCCAAAGATCAGGGCTGGGTTGACCCGAATACTGGATACAGGGCATATAAAACAGGGGCAAGGCACAGACTGATAGCAGAGCAATCACCACCAAGCCTGGAAACAGTGCAAGGGCTCTGCTGACGGCTTCCTGAGGTGCCAAGGAAATGAGGATGGAGGAAGGAATGAATGTTCTCCATGACTTTGGGATCCAGTCAACACGCTACCTCCAGGTGAATTACCAAGACTCCCAGGACTGGTTCATCTTGGTGTCTGTGATCGCAGACCTCAGGAATGCCTTCTATGTCCTCTTCCCCATCTGGTTCCATCTTCAAGAAGCTGTGGGCATTAAACTCCTCTGGGTAGCTGTGATTGGAGACTGGCTCAACCTCGTCTTTAAGTGGTAAGAACCTATAGAGAGGAGATCGGCAAGGAAAGAGGCTGGCATTCACTCCGGAAATGTCTGTCCGTCCGAAGTTGCTTTTCCCAAGCTATTCAGGAAGCAACGGGCTACTCATACTCCCAACCTCTCTCTCTGATTTTGGATCATCTACATATAAAGAGGGAAGACAGAAAAAAATCCTACCAGTGAGTTGAAAATACAGGAAAGCCAATTTCATATGGGTTAAAGGGTAGGACAGTTGAATTTCCTGATAAGTCTGAGTTATATAGACTTTGAGCAAAGAGTTTTATTACTATGAAGCAGAATAGGTAAAATAAAGATAGATGTATGGGGCCAGCCATGGTGGCTCAAGCCTATAATCCCAGCACTTTGGAAAGCCAAAGTGGGCAAATCCTGTCAGCTCAGGAGTTCAAGACCAGCCTGGGCAACATGGCGAAACTCCATCTCCACAAAAACATCAGGAAAAATAGCTGGGCATGATGGCATGCACCTGTAGTCCCAGCTACTCATGAGGCTGAAGTAAGAGGCAAAGGAGGTTGCAGTGAGCTGAGATTGTGCCACTGTACTCCAGCCTGGGCAACAGAGTAAGACCCTGTTGCAAAAAAAAAAAAAAGATAGATGATGTTTGCTATATGAAAAAAGGAAACACACAGATGATTCAAAAGCCTGTTTTGTGGAGTAATGTAAAGTCAGCCTGGGAACTGGGCTCCAGCCCTCGTTCTGCCACCCATCGACTGCATGTCCTTGGCAAGTCATCAATTCTCTGAGTTTCTGTTTTATAATCTACAAATAGGTTATCCCTGGCAGCTTAATAATAATCAGGGTTAACATTTATTAAACACTTAGTGTGTGCCAGGCCATGTGCTGTGTGCTTTTCTGTGAGAGTTGCTACTATTTAGAAATAGCAGATGCAGAGACCAAGGTGTTGAGTTAAATGATTAGGCCAACATGGTTAGTATATGCTGAGTCAGGATGGAAGCCCGGTCTGGCAGGCTGGCTTCTGAGACAATGCTCTTAAGAACTATGTTATAGGCAAAGTGTGGTGGTGCACGCCTGTTATCCCAGCTACTTGGGAGGCTGACGCAGGGGAATTGCTTGAACCCAGGAGGCAGAAGTTGCAGTGAGCTGAGTTTGTGCCACTGCACTCCAGCCTGGCAACAGAGCGAGACAAAAAAAAAAAAAAAAGAAGAAGAAGAAGAATTATGTTACATCCAGTGCTGATTTGCCAGTTTCTACCATGCAAACATTCCCATTATGGCCACTTTCTTTTTGCTTGTTTGTTTGAGACGGAGTCTCACTCTGTCCCCCAGGCTGGAGTGCAATGGCGTGAAATGGCTCACTGCAACATCCACCTCCCAGGTTCAAGCAATTCTTCTGCCTCAGCCTCCGGAGTAGCTGAGATTACAGATGCCTGTCACCACGCCTGGCTAATTTTTGTGTTATGGCCACTTTCAAGCTACGGTTGGTTCCTGCTGGCAAAATTCCTGAATATTTAATCATTGACTCTTCTTGGCCAGCTCCAGGAGACTCTAGCACACTACTGGTTTGGCCTCTATGTTCTCATCTAGAAAATGAAGGGGATCAGCTGCCTTCTAAGATTTTTACCATCCTCAAAACTACCTACCACTAGCTGATTCTTTTTTGTTTGATCGTTCAAGACAAGGTCTTGCTCTGTCACCCAAGCTGGAATACAGTAGCAGGTATAATCTTAGCTCACTGCAGCCTCAAACACCAGGGCTCAAGCTATCCTCCCTCCTCAGCCTTCCAAGTAGCTAGGACTGCAGGTGCGCACCACCATGCCTAGCTAATTTTTTTTTTGAGATGGAGTCTCATACTACCAGTTTCAAGTGATTCTCCTGCCTCAGCCTCCCGAGTAGCTGGGACTACAGGCACGTGCCACCATGCCTGGCTAATTTTTTGTATTTTTAGTAGAGATGGGGTTTCACCATGTTAGCCAGAATGGTCTCGATTTCCTGACCTCGTTATTTGCCTGCCTCAGCCTCCCAAAGTGCTGGGATTACAGGCATGAGCCACTGCGCCCGGCCTGCTCAGCTAATTTTTTTTTTTTTTTTGAAAGACAGGGTCTCACTATGTTGCTCAGGCTGGTCATCAGGCAATTTTTATTTATTTATTGAGACAGAGTCTTGCTCTGTCACCCTAGTTGGAGTGCAATGGTGTGATCTTGGCTCACTGCAATCTCCACCTCCCAGGTTCAAGCAATTCTCATGTCTCAGCCTCCCAAATAGCTGGGATTACAGGCACCTGCCATCATGCCCAGCTAATTTTTATATTTTTAGTACAGACAAGGTTTCACCATGTTGGCCAGGCTGGTCTTGAACTCCTGACCTCAGCTGATCTGCCTGCCTCAGCCTCCGAAAGTGCTGGGATTACAGGTGTGAGCCACCACGCCTATCTTTTTTTTTTTAGGTGAGGGCGGAGTTTCACTCTTGTTGCCCAGGCTGGAGTGCAATGGCACGGTCTCGGCTCGCTGCAATCTCTGATCAGGCGATTCTTAAGATCTCTTCTAGCTCTAATATTCTTTTGCTATAACAATTAAAGTCCTTTAGCGTAGGGGAAAAAAAATATATTAGTTTCTGGAGCCCCAGGCAGATTGATGAGATTCCTGAAACCACTGTTGAAACAGCTACTAAATTTTGTTTGCAGTGTCTCCTTCAGCAGCATGATTCTAAAAAATAAAAAGATGAAGTGTTGGCCAGGCACGGTGGCTCACGCCTGTAATCCTAACACTTTGGGAGGCCGAGGTGGGCAGATCACGAGGTCAGGAGATAGAGACCATCCTGGCCAACATGGTGAAACCCCATCTCTACTAAAAAAATGAAACAAAAAATACAAAAATTAACTGGGCATGGTGGCATGTGCCTGTAATCCCAGCTGCTCGGGAAGGTGAGGCAGAAGAATGGCTTGAAACAGGGAGTTGGAGGTTGCAGTGAGCAGAGATTATGCCACTGCACTCCAGCCTGGCAACAGAGCAAGACTCTCGTCTCAAAAAAAAAAAAAAAAGAAAGAAAGAAAAGATGAAGTGTTATTCCAACATGTGATCTCCATTGAAGAACCATGCAATCTCTCTGGGTTGGTAGGGGTCAGAGTTAGTGGCTCTCCCTGATTTCGGTGAGAAATCACTATTCCTCCACCACAAGGGAAAAAAGGCATCCTGACTGACACTTGACATCTGTTTCCACAGTGAAAAATATATCTAGTAAGTTTAAAGGGAAAGTGGTTTGTCTAAGATACTCTGTTTCAAAGCAGAGAGGACACAGAACAAACATGTGAAGCTATATACAACCTGACAGAGAGCAATTCTGATGGAAATGCAGGCCATGTTTCCTGGAGGGGCTTGTCCTAGGGGATAGAGAGCATTCTTTGATGTCAGAGGAAATGCAAGATTCCCTGAGGCCTGAAGAAAGAAGAGGGAACCCATGGTATATGCAAGTCCAAGTTGAAAACTGTAGTTCCAGGGCAAATACTTCTGGAGGTAAAGAAAAAAAAGGTCACATAGCTGCCATTATATGGATTTCAGGATTTTTCTTCTTTTCTTTTCTTTTTTTTTTTGACAGAGTCTTGCCCTGTCTCCCAGCCTGGAGTGCAGTGGCACAATCTTGGCTCACCACAACCTCTACCTCTCAGGTTCAAGCAATTCTCCTGCCTTAGCCTCCTAAGTAGCTGGGATTACAATCATGCGCCACCACACCTGGTTAATTCTTTATATTTTTGGTATAGACGGGGTTTCACCATGTTGCCTTGGCTGGTCTCAATCTCCTGAGCTCAGGCAATCCTCCCATCTTGCCTCCCAAAGTGCTGGGATTACAGGTGTGAGCCACCATGCCTGGCCAGAGTTCAGAATCTTGGGCTTCATTATTTGTGTTTAAATAAATCACACAGCCAGGCGAGGTGGCTCACGCCTGTAATCCCAGCACTTTGGGAGGCCAAGGTGGGAGGATTGCCTGAACTCAGGAGATTTAGACCAGCCTGGGCAACATGGTGAAACCCTGTCTCTACTAAAAATATGAAAATTAGCTGGATGTAGCGGCACGCACCTATAGTCCCAGCTACTCAGGAGGCTGAGGTGGGAGGAGCCCAGGAGGTAGAGGTTGCAATGAGTCGAGATTGTGCCACTGCACTCCAGGCTGGGTTACAAAGCCAAATCCTGTCTAAAAAAAAAAAAAAAAAAAAAAAAAAGTAATACATTCAAACAGTTCTAAATGCAAAAGTTACATACATAAATATGTGTCATAAAACATCTCCCTCTCACACTTCTCCCCAGCCACCCAGTTCTCCCTTCTACAGGCAACATGTGAAATCCTTCTCAAGCTACAGTTTTCTTGAAGGTGTGGCCAAAGCATTCATTCAGTAACCCCAGAAACTGGTTCTGTTTTTCCACAGGATTCTCTTCGGTCAGCGTCCATACTGGTGGGTTTTGGACACTGACTACTACAGCAACACCTCCGTGCCGCTGATAAAGCAGTTCCCTGTCACCTGTGAGACTGGACCAGGTGAGCGTCCCAGCCCCTGTAGAGACGGAGGCTGGGTGGAACTTGTTCATCTGTTATGGATGAAATTGACCTTGAGGGGACATGAGGAGGTCCATTCCTTTGTACTTTTATCATGCTCTACAATTTGCACAAGTTAATTCACTTTAGCAATGCTTTCCTGAATAGCACAATGGTATTGGAAATCTGCCTGTTGCAGAACCTGGATGGAGTCCAGAGAGGCACGGGCACCCAGAGGCAAAGGGCCCATGAGAGTCACCGCCCTGCAGCCCTGTGTCCTGAGAAAGGAGAGGGCAGAAGCCTGAGTCCTGGGGGGTCCTTCCCAATGGCCTGGCCCACTGGATGTGCCCTCCTGAGCTGACCATCCAATCCCTCGCCGTGCCTACATTTTATTGGTTACAGCCAGATGGGTACTGTCAAATCAAATGATAGATTTCATTTTCAGTATATAATAGGAAGCCCCCTCCCTCACCCTAAGGTCTAAGCTGCCCTCTAAAACTAGTATCCTCTAAGGTACTAGCATCCCTTCCTCAGAGACCCTTTCCTTGCCTCAAAACTAGAGAAGATCCCTTAGTTATTCGCTCTCACAGACCACTCCTTCACTTCAGAGCATATTCACTCACGCAGCTGTTACTTATCAAGCACCTACTGGGAGCTATACCCTGTTCTATGTGCTAGGGATACCTCTGTCAGTGAACAGCACAGACACAAAGATCCCTGCCTTTGTGCAGCTGAAATCTGAATAGAGGAGGTGAAATATACAAAAAATCATAATAAATAAGTGAACTAGGCCAGGCGCGGTGTCTCACGCCTGTAATCCCAGCACTTTGGGAAGCCAAGGCAGGTAGGTCACCTGAGGTTGGGAGTTCAAGACCAGCCTGGCCAACATGGAGAAATTCTGTCTCTATTGAAAATACAAAAATTGCCGGGCGCGGTGGCTCACGCCTGTAATCCCAGCACTTTGGGAGGCGGAGGCGGGTGGATCACGAGGTCAAGAGATCGAGACCATCCTGGTCAACATGGTGACCCCGTCTCTACTAAAAACTACAAAAAATTAGCTGGGCATGGTGGCGCGTGCCCGTAATCCCAGCTACTCAGGAGGCTGAGGCAGGAGAATTGCCTGAACCCAGGAGGCGGAGGTTGCGGTGAGCCGAGATCGGGCCATTGCACTCCAGCCTGGGTAACAAGAGCGAAACTCCGTCTCAAAAAAAAAAAAAAGGAAAATACAAAAATTGGCCGGGCGTGGTGGTGCATACATGTAGTCTCAGCTACTCGGGAGGCTGAGGCAGGAGAATCGCTTGAACCTGGGAGTCAGAGGTTGCAGTGAGCCAAGATTGTGCCACTGCACCCCAGCCTGAGTGACAGAATGAGACTGTCTCAAAAAAAAAAAAAAAAAAAGTAAACTATTAATATATAGGATAGGCCAGGTGCAGTGGCTCATGCCTGTAATCCCAGCACTTTGGAAGGCCAGGACGTGTGGATTGCCTGAGTTCAGGAGTTCGAGACCAGCCTGGCCAACATGGCAAAATCCTGTCTCTACTAATAATACAAAAATTAGCCGAGCATCTTGGCACATGCCTGCAATCCCAGCTACTCAGGAGACTGAGGCAGGAGAATCACTTGAGTCTGGGAGGCTGTGGGCCAAGATCACACCATTGTACATCTTTGGTAGAAAGATGTTTGCTTTCATCATAATAGCTTATTATCAAGGATGAATTTCTCCCTGAAATTAACAGAGGCACAAACTGGAAAGTTGACAGGGGCTTTAAGAGGTTATTTGATTTAGTCCTCTGTCTTTATGAAAGCAAATTACTATCTCTGCTCTTAGGTGGAGTAGCTAAGGTCCAGAAAGTTTAAATGAATTACCCAAAGTATGTAATTAGTGTTCAAGGGAAGAAGGGAAGGAGGAAGGAAGGGAGGAAGGAGGAAGGAAGAAACAAAAGAAAGAAGAAAGGGAGGAAGGGAGGAAGCGAGAAAGGGAGGAAGGGAGGCAATGAGTGAGGCTGGGAGGCAGGGAGGGAAGAAAGCCTTTATCTATGGGGTTCCCTGGAAAGCAGGCTGAAATGGAGATTCACCTGCAGGAGTTTTGATACTCTGGGGAACTGTACTTGTAGAAGGGAAGGAACAGGAACCAACATGGCAGGAGAGGTCCGGTTGTGAGTCTGCCTCATCCAACCCCACAGGGAGCTCTGAAGCTGGGGATGGCTCTTCAGAGTTGGGTCAAGGGAATCAGACCCCAGGGAGAGCATAACCTTGATCAAGGTGACTCTCCTTAGCCCAGAGCAATGCCCAGAGAAGGCTGAGAGCAGAGAGTCATCTGTCATCACACTATCAACAGCTACAAAATAAGTCCTTCGGTTCAGGAGGGAGGTCTGGGAGGCACATCTCAGGACCCTGTGTCTCTCAGGGTAGAGGAATTAAGAATGGAATGGGAACCAGGCTGGGCATGGTGGCTCACACCTATAATCCCAACACTTTGGGAGGCCAAGGGAAGGAGAATTGCTTGAGCCCAGGAGTTCAAAACCAGCCTGGCAAAAAAATAAAAATAAAAATTTGCTGGGTTTGATGGTGTGCACCTATGGTCCCAGCTACTCAGGAGGCAGAGGCAGGAGGACTGCTTGAGCCCAGGTGGTAGAGGCTGCAGTGAGCTTTGAGCATGCCACTATGATCATTGCAGCCTGGGAGACAGAGCAAGACCCCGTCTCTTAAAAAAAAAAAAAGGAACCAGTTGCATGCAGGGTTAAATAGCAGAGAAGGACTCACTGAGAAAGTGAGATCTGAGTCAAGTCTTAAAGAATATGAGGAAGTAAGTTTCTGGCAGAAGAGCTACGAAGAGCCATCTGCCCAGACAGGATCGCAATGCAGAAGCCCGAGGTGGGAAGGTATTTGGTGTGTTTAAAGGAAAGCAATGAGGCCAGCGTAGCTAAAACAGAGTGCGCAAGGAGAGAAGGAAGAGATGTGGAGGGCACGGTACACCCAGTATGCCAATTCTTTGTGTAATCTCCAGACTGTATTTAACTGCAAGAACAGGGACCCTCTCTCGCTTTGCTCACCATTGTATTCCCAGAGCCTTGCACAATGCTTGGTGCATAGTAGCTGGATATTTGTTAAATAAATGAGTTATGGATAACAAATGAATGGTAAGATGGGTGAATGGATGGATGAATGGCTAGATGGGTGGATGGCTGGGTGGCTGGGTAGATGATGCCCCCTGGCAGTCTCTACTGCCAGGTGAAGATGAAGGCCTTTTCACCTTTCTTCTCTTTCCTGCCCTTTAGGGAGCCCCTCTGGCCATGCCATGGGTACAGCAGGTGTATACTACGTGATGGTCACATCTATTCTCTCCATCTTCCGGGGAAAGAAAAAGCTGACCTACAGATTTCGGTGAGAACTCAGCACTGGGGTGTCGGCGGTGGAGGGCAGGAGATGGCTCTCTCTGTAGCTGGCACAGCACGTGCTCTTCCTCACTTTCCCCTAGCCCGCTCCCACTCCTCAGGCAGGCACTGATTAGAGCTATGGCAATTTGGTTAAGGGTAAGCCTCAGAGTCACGGAATGTTTGGGCTGAAAGGGATCCAGTAGTGCAATCCCTTGTTTTACAGATAAGGAAACAAGGCCTGACACCATGAAGGGAGTTAGAAGATTAGGTAGTGAGGTAGCAGCAGGGCTTAAATAAAAACCCATGTCTGCGCCAATCATAGAGTTGCCCGTCCAGGTTAAAATAATCAGAAAAACAG